ATTGCATTTTTTGTATATATTTAGGTTTAGTCATCTCCAAATTTGCCAGCTTCAACATCACTCAAAATTTGTTAGAAATGTTTTCGTTTATACATGCATAATGTGTTATGTACGGCTGGTAGTGCTGGTAGAGGAATGCTGTCATCTTGCGAGGGCTTAATAAAAATGTAAATGAAAAGCTTAGTATTATAAAATTTTCTTCAAGTTTGTCATCATTGGCGCAAACGAAGTAATCCGACGAAACTTTTGTACACAAAATACTGTTTTAATGCTTATTCCCTTGACTTTGATTTGACAAGTTGCGAAAATTTCTTTCAAATACGCGCGTGGGACCCGTTTAGTGGAATTTATCGGTCATGATTTTAGATTTATAGCGCAACTTCGATGGAATGGTCTTATGAAATTGAAAAGTTGTAATTTAAAGAAAAAAACAAAATTTAACGAATTTATAAGGGACGAATTTTTGGGAGTTGATAATCTTTTACTTTCTGCAAACAACTCTAATTTTTTCTTTTACTTTCTGAAAACTAAAAAATGAATGAAATCAACGTTGTTACATAACAGTCACGTTAAGATGTGCCATTCTCATTAATTTTCACAGTTTTGCATTAGCGATAACAAATGCATTATGTCAATTTGGCTAGCCCCTTAGAACCACTTAGCCAATGTATACTACTCTAAAATTATCATTTCCCAAGAGTAGAAGAGCGGAACCTAAAGTGGCAAAGATACATATATAAGTTTATCACAGTAAAAGTACCTGAACTATAATTATTTGCTTCGTTGTAGTACAATCTTTAATTCGCGATAGTAATGGATTGGCTCGTCTGTTAAAGACCACGCTCGTAAAATATACCAACGTAACATAGAACTATAATGCTGTTCGCTGTGTTCCTTATGGTAATATACGAAAACCGGAATAGTCCATAGTGTTCAAATGTCAGGAGGACTGTCTACTCGTTGGCTGATTTCTGATGATGTTAATGCTGTTAGCCTTTTGGCTGTTACAGCTTCATGGGTCTCAGGGCCCGCGGGCTGTAAAAAGTAAATTTAAATTATTCCGCATCGTTACGCAAGTAATATATAATATGAACTCCTATCACAGTGTACAGTATACGTGGATGAGTCATCTAAAGACCGTCAAAATAGGGGGTGGTTTGTGATTCTAGACCTGTCGGCTTCCGGAGAAAGCAAGGTCTGCGAGTTCGTCGTTTAAAAACGAAGCCATTATACCTATGCTAACATGGTTAACACAGATGTGTACCAAGCTCCGTGTGTTTAAAACAGAAACAGAAACAGAAACAGAAACTTTTTTTTTCAATGTAGATTATAAACATTACTTATTGAAAGTCAATTTTTTCATTTACCACTGGTTCGCAAAAAAAACCTCTGTCCTGGGAAGAACCAGCAAGAAACACAGCGGGACTTTTTTTTTTCAAATAATAGCTTACAATTATGTATCATCTAATCATCTTAAATAAACGCCTATACCCCTAGCGCGTTGGTACGCTAGGGTGTGTACCTAGCTATTGTCTAATACAACAAGCAACACAAAAATTAAAATAGACGGCAGCAAGTGAGGCGGCGGTTGTGTGTTCACTGTACTTACGGTTAGCCGAAAACCAGAAAGCCAGGAAGGAGAATTACGCACAAAACACTCTTTGCACCACAACAAGGGTCCGATAAACTTCAGAGTGAGACTGCTGTCATTCGGGACAGCGTGCTTCGCGCATCAAAATGTGAGTACTAATACTGTCACCAGACATAGAGTACCAAGCAGCGAGCTAGGTATACAAGTAAAATCACTAAGTCGCACACATAAGCTAACAGAGTGGAGTGACGGGTGTGAACTCGACCGACATGTATGGAGTTTACAGAGCTCAAGGCAGGAATGTCTATCTATGGTATGTCTGCTCGTTTACTACTCCTGTTTCCGTTAATAGCAAATGTTGATTTTGGTTGGAATAATATAATTTATCCCGTTTGCTCGACAGTGGTACAAATGTGACTAACACAATGCCCTCCGCCCGATCGGCAATGGTACACATTAGTACCACTCATAATTTATGAGGGCGAACCCGACAAAAAAAGGTTTGTCATTAAAAATTATAACAAATTTATACTGAAATATATAATACAGACATAGACAAAGACATACTCTTTAATTTGGGACCATAATCTGTCAATTTCGAACTAAAAATAGACATAAAAATCATTCTGACAGTATAAAACTCACCTTTTTATTTCAAAAACACACAGAAAAAAGGGAGAAATCACTCAGAAATAGCTCACGCACTACCACGCACTACTGTTGTAAAAAGCAATTACGTCAGAATGATTTTTATGTCTATTTTTAGTTCCGAAAAATTTTTTTATAAAGAAAAGCCGAGCGGGCGGAGAGCGTTGTGTTAGTCACATTTGTACTACTGTCGAGAGAACGGGATAAATTATTTTATTCCAACCAAAGTCAACATTTGCTATTAACAGAAACAGGAGTAGTAAACGAGCAGAAATAGCCTGATGATAAGTGGATGCTGCAGCCCATACATCTCTACATCTATCCTCGATTAAGGTTAAAAATGCTGGTGCGTTGTCACCCCTGAGGACTAAAATAGTTTAATATAATATACCTCGTTACCAGTAAAAAATCTCCAGTTCTACGCTCTCCATCTGATACACATAATTATTCTGCTGTTTTATGTTGGTATACTGTTTATCTATTTACTCTCTTTAAAAAGTTCAATTTTATGCTAATTTTATGTCAAATTGACGAAGTCATATATACATATACGAGCGTGTTTTCAATCATGTATAAATTAACGTGAACAAGTAGAAATATCCAAGGTTTTTACCGGGTGATGTCATCGTAAAAGCTACAACAATAATATAGCTGCAGCTTGGCTCTACCACGTGTAAAATGGTTCTTTTTTATTTTCATATGGTTAAATTTCCTTGTAATTTAGTTTATGTAATTTAATTTATTCTTCGGTAAGGGTAGAGCCGTGGTAGCTCAGATGGTTAGGACTCGCTGTAAATTTCACAGTTCGTGAACCGGCGGGGATCGAACCCAAATAAACTGTTAATTGAAATTTTAAGCGCTAATTTACCACGTACCCGGCGGTGAAGGAATACATCATGAGGAAATAAGCATGACTGACAAATAAGAAAAAACATTTGGAAGATATTTCCTTGCCCTCGCTCTTAGAAATAAGAAGAGGCCTATGCTCAGCGGTGGGACTTATACCGGTTGTAACTTTAACTTTTTAAAGTTTTACGTAGGTATATATGTATATCTGACTAGAATTATTTCAACCGGGTCTGGCTGTTATACACACTTAATATGAGATAGTCTGTATGCCTCTCACCCTTACTCACATACCCATGTCCCCGGGCGAGGATGGAATTACAGCGGAGCTTCTGAAAGCGGGTGGAAAACCGGTACTTGAAGTCCTTCAGAGTCTCTTTAATTTCGACCTCCATGGTGGCACTACTCCAGAGGCATGTCTTGTTCTTTAAGGTGACAACGCCCTCTTGAAGAACTACAGACCGATATCCCTTTTGAGCCGCGTCTACGTGCTGTTTTCGAGTCATTATAAATTGTCTCACACGCAAACTCGACGACTTCCAGCCTCCCGAACAAACCAGTTTCCGAAAAGGACCGACCACATACATACCCTTCGGCAAATTGTACAGATGTCTGAAGAGTACAATCTGTCATTTTTCTTGGTGTATATGGATTATGAGAAAGCCTTTGATTCCGCCGAAATTTGGGCGGTGTTACAGTCTCTTCAGCGGTGCCAAGTTAACTGTCGGTATGTCGAGGTACTGAAGTGCTTGTACAGTAGGGCTACGATGGCTATCCGAGTACAGATTCAGAGTACGAAACCTATCTAACTGCAGATTAGTGTAAGACAGGGTGACTTTATTTCCCCGAAACTCTTCACCGCTGCGTTTGAAGACGTTTTTAAGCTACTGGACTGGAAAGGATACGGTATTAACATCAATGGCGGGTACATCAGTCACCTTCATCACATCACAGAATCGCTAGAGGACTTAAGCACTATGCTCAATGACCTCTATAGTGTCTCCCAACGGATAGGTCTTAAGATGATCATGGACAAAACAAAGATCATGTTTAATGTCTATGTCACACCGGTCATTCTCAGACGGCTCAAAAAGGCATGTCCGGGTTGAAATTCAGTACGAAATCGATTACTAACAACTTGATATTTTTTCTATAATAGGTACGATCAAAATATTAGGAGGGCCATATGTTCTTTTTTGAATAAATATTAAATATAAGTTAGTTAAAAAAATTAAAAACCTCGAAAATATTGACCTCGGTGCCGCGTCCGGCCCCATATTGTGGCGGCAATTATGTTTTATCTTTTTTTCTCCAATATTCGACACTATTTGACATGTGTTCACAAACAACTAGATAGTTATTAATTCCATTTATAATATTACTAAAGCACAATAGGCCTTAGTAGACAAGTTACATTTGGTTGTCTTCACGTCCAACGTTTAGGATTGATATCAGTGGCGCGCACCAATCCGTTCATATATCCCATACTCTAGTGACTTTGAGAATAGATGTTCGAGTAATACAAGTCGCGCCGCATTGGTGGTAAGATCAACGTGTCTGTGCGTTACCGCGTCACTCATTTATTGAGGTACGTAATCGTTTTCAGTGGCTTAGTATACCCCTAAAATTGATTTCGGTGAATCCATTTTATCCAAAACTATTTGAATTAATATTTTTAAATTATAATAAAATTATATCTTTTATGCATTAGATTTCAAAAAAAGAGGTTAATTTAAAAAAAATCAGTATATTTTTGAAAACTTTCAGTGGCATTGATTTCGGTGTTTTCGGTGAAAATAGGTGCACCGAAATCAATTTTGAAATCACCGAAATCAATCAATCGTTATTTATTTACATTTTATGATCTTAAATTTAACTTTCTTACCACCCTTTATCTTGTTTCAGTATTGAGATTATGTCAGATTCAAAAAAAGATCGGTTGGCTAAAAAGAGATTGTCTGAACGACGTCGGAAAGCTCGCATTAAGAGTGATCCAGAGCTTTACGTAATGCACAAAGAGAAAGATATACAACGGTATTGTAAAAGGAAGAATGAAGGAAAGATAAAGTCTGTAAGTGAATTAGATCTCGTCAACAACGAATTTTTAGAGAGAGAAGTAGAATATCTTCCAATAAACACAATTTGAAAAGAAGGTGTAAAGAGATGAGGTGTCTTGAAGAGGATTTAATAATCGTACCAGAAGTAACCGACAAAACTGACGATCCTTTGGTGACTTCACAATCACAAATAATACGATCAGAATTGCTTCAAACTGATCAAAAGCAAGAAGCGAACAAGCAAGTTTCTATGTTGATTTGCTACCATCAAGTTCATCCGTCGTTTCATTTCCTTTACCTCAGCGTATTAAGGCTTATCGAGGCTCGTCAGCACCATTGAGTCCGTCTAGTGATGTAAGTAAAATTTTAAAGCCATGTACAAGATCATCAGTTCGTGTGATTGAAAAGGAGTTTCCTCCAACTCCAAAAGCTAACAAGAAATACTGAATACCAAAGGTATCATACGTAGAATTAAATACCGCATGAACGAAATATATCAGTTACAGAAAGAGAAGATTGATCAATTGAAAACTGTCAACGAACGTCAGCGAAAACAGTTATATAGATTAAAATACCAAAGTGCTAAATTAAGAGAATATGAACATATAAGTAAAAATAATACTGAAGATACTTAACAAAGTGTATCAGACACTATAAAAACAATTAAAAATAATGTGGAAGAGGACATCAAAACTTTTATTGAAGAAGATGAAAACAGTCGTATGTGTTCTGGGAAGAAAGAGTTCATTACCCAGAAAAAAGAATAAAAAACAAAGACGCTATTTAAATGATTCTTTTAAAGACTTATATACTAAGTTTAAGTAAACAAATCCCCAAAATAAAATTAGTTACTCCAGTTTTTGCAAAAAACTACCGTTTTGGATACAGAAACCTAATGTAAATAACGAAAAATCTGTCTTTGTATCGAACATGAATATTGATGGTGACTGCTTTAAAAAAAATTAATTCAAGAAAAATCTACCAAAAATATTTTGTCATCACTGTGCTGTGACTCTTCGAATGTGTCATGTTTAACTAGAAAATGCAATGACTGCAATGATAAAAGCTTAATCTATAATGAATTCAATAACACTGAAGTATTGTTTTACTGGATTTGGCAAAAAAGTAAAAGAACTTATTACAAGAATGGAGTTACAAAAACAACCACTCACACAACGAAAGATAAAGTGACTACTTTCCCCAGGGACACCATTTTAAAATTTGAAAAAATGTTACCTTCATACATGACTCACTGTGGAGTTATGATCGCACAAAACAAGTTTATTAAAAAAATGAAAAGCGACCTCACTGAGGAAGAGTGTATAGTTCACTGCGACTTTAGTGAAAATTACAGCACAAAATACGGTAATGAAATTCATGCCGTTCATTTCGGGGGTAACCGACAACAAATAACCCTGCACACTGTGGCCATTTATTATCATAAAAATGGACTTCCGAAAGTTTAGTCGATGTGTACATTATCAGAGTCTTTACGCCATGATGCACCAGCCATTTGGTAACATTTTCTTCCGATTTTAAAATTCATAGAAGATGAAAATCTCAATATTCGTATACTACATTTCATTTCTGATAGTCCGTCGGCTCAGTACCGAAACCGTAAAATGTTTTATATCATCAGTAAACTCCATTGGTACTTTCGCAGTTTGACTAGTATTACATGGAATTATACAGAAAGTGGCTATGGAAAAGGAGCCCCAGATGGTGTCGGTGCAACACTCAAAAGAACAGCTGATCGAATAGTTGCTCAAGGCTATGATATCACAAGCTTATCATCATTGATGACTCATCTGAAATATGTTAAAGGTATTATAACGAGTACATCAGGCAGTATGGAACGCCAATAAGCCCAACCAACTATCGATGAGAAAAATGAGTTGCGCCGAAGGTGAATGTAAAAAATATTTCAGTGTCATGTGAACATGGGTATAATGTAGGACTATACATCATAGGCGAGCAAGCTGATAGACTGTTGATTGATAGAACGAACAAGAACAAGAGTGACAAGATCAATCTGATTAAAAAAATCAAGTCAAGCCAAAAAAGGGAGTGGAGTCAGTGCAACTGAATCTAATTATTTCAGCCTCAAATTTTATCGAATATTCTAATTCAACCTGGTTGTAGCTATTCTGTTGATCTTGCTGAAGAGTTTTATGAAACCAAACAGCGCCTGTCCCATACCTTACCAGACATTTTATTACATGAAAGTGACAGCTTCTGGACACGTGTTTCGACAGATTGTGAAAATATTGTTCCGACATTAATGAATGAAGTAGTCTCCAAAATTGTAAATTGTAAAGAAAGTAGTGACGAGGAATATAACATTTTTTAAATAAGGATTGAAAACTGTAAAACAAAGTTTTATAAGAAGTTTATTAAATTGTTAATTTAATGCTGGGTGATTATTATACCTAAAGCTTATTTAATTGTCTTAAAATCAAAAGACAAAGTAATATTTTTATTAAAAATACAAACATATGTAAGTGCCTTCTACAATTGTTGATGTTGTTTAAAGGATTGATTTTTAAGTGATTTTGTAGTAATTTTTTTCAATAAGTAAATTGCCTGTGATTAAGCTAGATCTCGACCAAGAATGCTGATTTTTTTTTAAGTTCCTATAATGTTGTTTAAGACTATTATCTTTAATGACATTTAATATAATAATTTAACGCTTCCTACCGAAGTTGATTTTTGTAAGTTTTCACAAAAATTAATAAAAATGGTTATACATAAGTCTTGATAAAATATATTTTTTTATTGTCAAATTAACCTGCAATTCTTTACAGATCATAAGTTCATAGTAGTAATTAGGCAGTAAATTTACCTTAAGAAAATTATCGTTGAAATATAAATTATTTTATATTTATTTGATTTCGGTGATTAAAATATTGATTTCGGTGGACACCATTTTTTTTTAAATTAAATACCTTCTTAATCATCTCTGTCTATACGATTCCCTCTTTTACTTATATATATTAAATTAATTCTAGAATAGATATTTCATGTTAGTAAGGCCTAAATTTAAAAACAAAAAATGCCACTGAAATCAACCAAATAATGAATCGCTTGATAATGACCCACCTATGCCGGTAGTTGTTGGGAGCACTAAGCTCGAAGTTGTTGACGAGTACGTTTACCTGGGACAAATAGTCCGACTAGGTAAGTCCAACTTCGACCGAGAGGTCAATCGACGGATTCAACTCGGCTGGGCAGCGTTCGGGAAATTACGACACATCTTCTCGTCAGGTATACCTCAAAAGATGAAAACTAAGTTGTACAACCAGTGCGTGTTGCCAGTGATGACCTATGGAACCGAGACGTGGTCCTTCACTGCTGGCCGTACGAGGACGCTCAAGGTCACTCAGCGAGCTATGGAGAATGCTATGCTCAGAGCTTCTCTGCGTGATAAACTTAGAAATGAGGATATCCGCAGTAAAACCAGAGTGACCGACATAGCCCAACGGATTAGTAATCTGAAGTGGCAATGGGCCGGCCATATAGTATATACCTATACCGGCCATATAGTATATATAAACATACCGTTGGGGAAAAAAGGTTCTCGAGTAGCAGCCTCGTACCGGTAGGGCGACCCCGCACTAGATGGAGTGACGACCTGGTAAGACATGCAGGAAGTCGATGGATTCAGCTGGCTCAGGACCGTGCTTTGTGGCATATTTTGGGGGGAGGCCCATGTTCGGCAGTGGACTTGTGACGGGCTGTAATGATGAAGATGATGAAAGTTAAAAAAAAGGAAAAACATAGGAAATTAATAATTAAGTTCATTCTACTCGATTAATCTCGTATTAAATAACTTAGAAGTATTAATAACTAAAAATCTTACACTACAATACTAGTATAAATGTATTATATCGTTGTAATTACTTATGATTTTGATTTTAAATGAGGAGCAGTTGTCTTGTCAAAACTGCCTTTTTGCCTGGAAATCACTCTAGAGGCGAAATATTAATGGGTCCCAAATATCTAAACTAGTTCTGCAGCATATTCTGTAAAAGAGATAAACTACTAAAGTCTCATCAGTATTGAAACAGCTAGACTAGTTTAATTTACTTATTTGTATAGCATAATTATGTATGACGACGCAGAGAGAAACTGAACTAGATGACCGGTGGCAGCATTTTGAATTGCGGTTGAAAGCTCGCTTGTTAAGGATGGCAACTACGACAAATATCTCATGAGACAATCTATGAGGGAGGTATATGTTCAACAGTTGATTAATTTATAAACTGTGATGGATGGATGGAATATTTGATGATGAAACGTATTTTGCTACGGGGAAACGCAACTGACACTAAAACAATATTTGTTTTGCAGAAGGGGGCCTTAGAGCAATTTATGATTTAAATCATAAAGAGTCTCTTAAAGATCGATTAAACGCCATGTACTACAGAAATATAAGCAGTAATCCATACTAATATTATAAATGCAGAAAGTGTGTTTGTTTGTTTGTTTGTCCTTCTTTCACGTCGCAACAGAGCGTCGGCATGGCATGAATTTTGGTATGGGGATAGTACGGTGGCTGTAGAGTGACATAAGCTACTTTTTTAGCGGAGAAGCATATAATTCCCGTGGGATAATCAAATATGTTGCAAAATTAAATTCAGCTAGGTGACGCCACCGTGATTCTACAAGATGGACGACGGTACGATGGACGAACACAGAAGGTCACAATATCTGGATTATTATCTTTTTACCAAAATTAAGATATAAAATGTATGGATCTGCATTTTTCCACGCAGGACCGGGAAGAGAGCGAGAAAAAAAACATAAAATTCACCAACTTATTTTCTTCAAACGTTTTGGTGCATTCTAATTCACAGAATGGACGTTAACCTCGCAGACGATATTAAGTAATCCGTTGATGCTCTGCCTACCCCGCAAGGGTTACAGGCGTGATTATAAGTATGGATCAGAAATACTATCACCACCTGTTACGCTTTCACCCTTAACTACTACTTAACTGTGGTAGAAACAGTTCTTAGTAATTAATCCTTATTAATAAGCCTTAGTAATATTTATTGAACAAATGAATGAATACAGTTCTTATAGTATG